CCAGAGTTAGGGCGTCTCTTCGAAGCTCCAGTAGATCAGGGAGTCTTTGCGAGGGTATAGAGACAGCTCCGTCCTGTGGGAGCAGGGCAGGATGGTGAGGATACAGCTGGATCCTTGGGGACGAGGTTCAGACCTCGGGATCTAAGGAGTCTGCACACCCAAACTCCTGCATTTCCGGGCGAGGGCCCCTTGGGAAGGACGGGACTGGGTGCGCGTAGCCTGCGTTCCTGGGTACTCCAGGTACTTAACGTCCTGGAAAGAGAACTTTCGTATCCTAGGGAAGGAAACGGGGGCTTTCGCTTCCTTGGGAAGGAGTATCTGGGGGCTCAAGTACGGAAAGAGGCCCTGCCCTCAGATCCAGAATCCCCTCGACCCGCTGTGCAGGCTTCCTGTCCCTACCGCCGTTCCTGAGAGTTGACACTAAGGACTCCTGGGTGCTAAAAGAGGGAGAGACTGGGGCCTGAATTTTGGTTCTTGCTGCTATAGGATTCGAGGCTGAGACCACCGGGTCAGAGAATGGAAGCCAGCCCAGGGGCTCGGCGAGCACCGGCCAAGGCGGGGTCTGTGCAGGAGGCGGTGCGGAGCGAGAGCCCGGCTTACTTGGGATAGAACCGAAAGTCCCGGGCCGGGCCGAGGTGGTCAGATAGAGCTGTCGGCGGTCCAGGACGCCCCGGTCGGATACTGTGAAAGGCCGCCAGACAACTCGGGGTTCTTCGTCCATGCGATTAGAGCCTGAGCAAGATTGTGGGAGGAGGCATACCCAAGACACAGATTTCACACCCCGTTCCAAGCCCTGGGTCCCGAGTTCAGAATCCCTCTCCTTCGGCCTGGACAGCCATGAAGGCCACGGTCCTAGAACCCCGCCCCAGAGTCAGAGCCCTTCCTGCCACCCACGCCAGGGAACTTCAGCCTCCTTCCTCAAACCCGAACGTTTTGCAGCTTCACCTCCCTAAATCCAAGCACCTCCTGCTGGTCAAGGAACTCAAACCCAGGCCCCCAGTTACCAAAAACAACCTCCCTGGTTCCGCTCCCGGTCTTAAACTGTCCTGGTGTGGTCACTGGAGCTGAGCTGCCTCTTAGGCAACAATTTGACATTACCTCTCCCAGCTCCCACCCGACCCTGTCTCAGAATATTCTAGTCTCCTTCCCATCCACAGCCCGCTGTCTATCTCCGCAGCAGCTTGGGAGCCCTGAAGATGAGTTTCCAGCCCCTGGTCCTTCTGGCCTGGCCTCGAGGCCCAGACCCCGGCGGTGGTGGTCTGCGACTTGTGAGGGGCTGGGCGGTGGTGGTCTGCGACTTGTGAGGGGCTGGGCGGTGGTGGTCTGCAACTTGTATTCGAGGGCGTGGGTGTCCGGGTGGGAAGAGCCCGTGTACTGCACCCTCCTCTCGCTGCGCTGGTATTTTGTGGTCAGTGGGAGGTGCCAGCCATGGCGTCTGAGGTGCGGAAAGGCGACCTGGAGACCCTTGTGAAGGCGCAGGGGACTCAAATGCAGTCTCCCGTCCTGTCCCCTGCGGACTCTGGCACTCCCTAAACCTTACCTTTTCTCTTGAATCCTTGATCCCCCAGTCCTCCTGGGGTCTGCAGGCTCTGGGCTCTGGGCTGGGCGCAGGGCCCGTCATGGGGCTTGCCCACCTAGGCCCAAGCCAGAGGCTGAGCCAGAGGTTTTCTCCCATCTGCTGAGGACCTCATTGAAAGCCCAGATGCAAGAATCCTGCTTTGTAGCCGGAGGTAGAGGGTCCGGGACCCTGGACTGGAGAGTAGGTGCTGCACATCAGCTAGAAAGACTCAGGAGTCGGTATCACACCCCCCATCCCAAACTCTGACCTCTTCCAGTCGGCTCCCAGCCCTTTCCTCTGCAATCCCTGGCATCCAGCTTCCCTGGTGCCTCCTCTCTCAGACCCAGGGCTCCAGGACCCTCCTACTTCAGAGAGGAGTCCAGGCTCCCAATCCCCTTTACTCAGCACCTAGCTTTCTGGGTCCCCAGGTCCCACAGGGCTTCAGCCTAGGGTCAACTCACCTGCACCGTGGGCGGGGGGAAGGGCATGGGTGGGATAATGCGATGGGCAGCACAGGTGTTGGTGAGATGCCAGTTGGGCCAGGATCCAGGCATCTCGGTTGCAGAGATGGAAGACCACGGGGGGGCGAAGGGGGGCACACAGCGCAGAGCCAGGGTGCCACTGGCCATGGTTCCTCCCCCTCCCTGTAGCCAAGCAGGTGCTGGCTTCTTGTTGCTGTTGCCCCAGGTGACAGAACCCGCCCATCCTGAACCTAGCCAATCAAGGGCCTGCAGGCTTGTGGCTGGATGGAGTGAGGAGACCCAGAGACAGAGGGACTGGGACCCCAAGAGGGTCACAGAGAAACATGGGGAGGGAGATGGAGACTCAAAGAGAGGAGGGCAGAAGAGGAAGGAGAAGTTCAGAATTTCAGAGACCCAGGGAGATGGGGAGACAGAGACCCAGAAAGGACAGAGACCTGAGAATGTCAGAGATCCAGAGAGACAGAGACCCCTGCACTGCACCTAGCACCTCCAGACATCCATGAGAAACACCCCTCTTTCCTCCAGGGTCCAGAAGCTCCGGGCTGCTCCTCCCTCTGCCAGGCCTGCCCACCTGGGGATAATGATTTCCAGACATCTCCAGGGCTCCCCCACCCTCCCCGCATGTGCTGGAGGGGTCAGCGCTGGCGTCGGCTGTCCTGCCTGCCTTTAATTTGCTGGAAAAGTTCCACCTGGGTAGGCTGGGTGGCCAAAGAGGGAGGACCCACAGAGAAGTGCACAGGGACATAGTGAAAAAGACGGGC